TCTCCAAGTGGCTCCTAGGCAATTTTTTCAAGGCTATTGTCAATGTAATGCTGACTGTGGGTTTCCAAGGCTACCCCAGAGCTACAGGGGAGGATGGGATTAAGCAAATGAAAACGTCTCAAAGTTGGCTGGTTTTTTGCCAAGATTTAGGCATTGTTCCTGAATAAATAAATACTTCTTGGAGTTTTGCAAATCTTTATTTAATTTTCAGAATTTTGAAAAATAATTTTGAAGTTTGTGGTCATTATTTTCCTTGCTTTTATGAATGGGTGGAAGTGCTTCCAGTTAATATTAACTTTGCAAACTCTGTTATATGGACATTTTCCAACTTATGTAAAAGAGTAGTGTTATGACCTCTCCATGTGCCCACACCTAGCTTCAATATTACTTACCTGTATTTGCCAACATTTCTTTAACTATCTACCCACTACTCAATATTTCATTTTTTCCTGGAATATCCCAGATGTTCTACCTTACCTATGTTGTTCTCTGTGATGTTTGTTGTAAACTGTTAGGTTGGCTGGACTAACCCCATCTTGAAAAGCCATTCTGTGAGACTCTGTTACAGGTGGACATAACTCAGATAAGAGAGAGACATGCTGCAGCCTCATCCTTGCACCTGCCCTATTACAGACTGACCCAATTACAGACCCACTTGAGAGAAATAAGCTGACACTTTGATAAGAAGAACCTTCCAGGAGAGTCCCCATAATGAGATAACATCTTCGATGTCCAGATGAGAGCAACAGTTTGGTGGTCCTTGATGGAAACCAGCTTCCCTTCTGTGGTCTATATAACACTGTCAGCCTCCACCCTAACCACTCCCCACTCCAACATCCTTAGATCTAGCCCACTTGTACTGAAGTGTCAAAATAAAACAGCACTTTTGAGTGTTCTGATCCCCTCCTTTTTCTAATTTTTACCTATCATAAACAAATATGGATAATGATGTTTTGCTGAAACTTTATTATTGCTCCAAAGGAGAATATAACAGCAAATGCTATGGCTCAGGTGCTTCTGAACTGTTGTCCTGAGATACCTCAGTTCTTCCACCACTATTCTCTGGCTGAACTACTATTAAACTTGTGGTTGAACAGCTCTCTGCTCTATCCCATGGTCTTCACGGGATAAGAATGTGTCATTTATTTAGTTCTTTAATTCCCCATTTCTTTTCTTGACACAATCTTCTATGAATTGAAATTAAGGTTATTTAGATGCTTATTAGTTAATTTTTGGAGATAGTTCACTCTGTAGCCCAGGCTAGAGTACAGTAGAGCAATTATAGCTCATCGTAGCCTCAAACTTCTGGGTTCAAGCTGTCCTCCTGCCTTATCCTCCCAAGGAGCTGGGATTAAGTGCCTATCTCCATGTCTGGCTGATGTTTTAAACTTTTTGCAGAGATGGAGTCTGGCTATATTGACCAGGCTGATCTCAAACTCCTGGCCTCAAGCAGTCCTCCGACCTTGAACTCCCAAAGCACTGGGATTATAGGTGTGAGCTACCACACCTAGCCCTTCATTTATTTTTAATCATCAGAAACGAAAACAAAATTTTTAAAAATCTTATCGCTTTTTAGACTCCATAAGGTTGACATAGAGTAAAACAGTTAATAATTCCTAGTTTTTGATGAAGGTACATGAGCTACCACGTATATTCATTGGTATAACCTTTGGGGAGGGCTATTTCATGATGGCTATCAAAAATTTTAATGTAGGAATTCTTCTAAAAATTATCCTGTAACTACTGTGTGAAGTTCTGAGACAGATAACACGAGTGGGTTCACTGAAAAGTACTTCTGGAAATAACCTCAATGCCTGTCAATAGCTGTTCAATGGAAACTCATTTAAGATACACTATTAATGGTAAAAATTTATAGAATAGTCAGATACACTGTTAATGTAAGCTAAGTTGCACAAGTATTTATATCTGGATCCCATTTGTATGTGAACAATTAGATTGCCTATATCAATTTGGAATTGGGTTAGGCTGCTGTTAAAAGAATAGAAATAAAAGTAGCTTAATCAAGATGGAAGTTTAGTTTTCTCTCTAGCACTGCTTGGAGGCTGGCAATCTGGGGCTGCCATGTTGGAGTTCTGGTGTTACTGGGGACCCCGGCTTCTATCTTTCATTGTATGATACTAACTGATGAATTTAATTCTCGAGGTTACCTCCTAGTCTAAGATGTCCAGACTAGTGCCTGAGTCCTTAGTGCAGTTGGGAAGAATAAAGAAAGACAAAAAGCCTGATGAAGGACCTCTTCTAGCTAATTCAGTCCCTTTCAGTAGCCTTCCTAGAAATCCAACATAAACACCCATTCTCTTTGTTTCTGTGCATAAAGACTGATGGACCAGCGTGTGTAAAGAAACTATAGCCTCAAAGAATCCTGGTAGTAAGGCTATAAACAGTTTGGTGTGTTTAACCCCCAAATGGCTGTGACACGTGCTATTTCCTTCCTAGGTGATGTCTTAACCTCTCCCTAGACTGATGGCTCCTGGAAGAAGGAATCCGTGGAGTCTTATTCCTTAATTGTCCTTTTGTTCCCAGCATTGCATCTCCTTGACTAGTACTTAGTCACGTGACCACACTTGGCTGCCCACAAGGTGGAGAACCAGTCTTTTATTCTGGGTGGCAGTCAGGGCCCTGTTGCTCAGGAGGAAAGGTGTAGTGGATATTTGGGGGCAGGTGTAGTAGTGTCTGTCATATAAATATATACCATCGTGTGTGGTAGCACACAATGTTTCTGCAAGAATGTTAGGCAGTGGGCACTCCAGTGGGTCAGTGGGACAAGGGATTGGGAGTCAGATCAGCACTTCTGCTTTTATACCCCATCTGTTGCATATTTTCCATGAGCACGTTGTACTTTTCTAATAAACAAGCTAACCTAAAACCTGTGGTTTATTAAGAGAAGTGTCAAGGTCTTACAGTGCATCTTACATTCAGTGGTAGGCCATAGTTTAACTGCTAAGAAAAATATTAGCAGTTAAAGTACTAACTCTTTAAGAATCCATTCTGAGTGAATCTGAATTATTTAGGTTTAGGAATAATTCTCCCATAAGGTAGCGGGTTGGATGCATTTTGAAATTTTTCTCATGATCATAATATTCTGTGTTTTTTGCATTTATGGGGTAAGATTGGTCTATGAAATACATCCTCAATTCTCAAGGCTCCCAGCTGCAATCATTATTAAGTACTTTTAGCTAATGACGGGTCTTGGTGTCACTGAGAAATATCTCCTTTTTAAGCTGTACTCACAGTTGGAAGTCGTGAAAAAAATTTAAAACATCAAAATGTGTATTTCATTGGTATTTGTGGTGTATTAATACGTTCATAAATATTTATATGTATATAGAGTGACGAACTAATTGTCTGACAAAGCTATAACATTTTATCGACTTAATGAGGGCTTTTGGAATTTATATGGAACATTTCTGCGGGGAACGTTTTTCTCATTCAAGTAATATGTTTGTATATTTTTAATAGATCTGTCGTTTCCTACGACCCCATACTGAGTACAAACTATTACTACGGTTTTCAAGTTACCATTTTGGAAAGGCAGTCCTTTGCATCTCTCTCCCTGGCTTCTTTAAAACAAACTACTTTTAATCATTTGTTCAGGGGTAATTTGAATATGGATCCTCTTCAAATGAATCAAAAGTCACTGTGTGTATCAGCGTGGTCCTCACTTAGTGTTTGTGGGGCGTATCTGAGCACAGGATACTCAGTTGTTTTATTACAGATAAAATCAATTGATCTTTTACTTGATAGGAAGTTAATACCTGTCATAAACAGCTTCCGAGTCAGGGTTAAATGAAGCCTTCTGGCCTGGGGAATCCCAGCCTCTCAGTAAGTTTCACAGTCGTTTGTGTGATCAACTGCACGTGAGGACATGAATCCTGTCTTTCCTGGTGTATGTGTGACATTTGCTTTCTATTCTTGGTCACAGTTCCTTTCTGAGCTGAAAGGAACCACACAGAGCCTTTATTAGCAGTTCTTACCCTTCCTCCTTTTTTTTTTGAGTCATAGACTTATTTTGGTTAGGTGTGGACTCTCCATAGCAAAGAGACTAAGTGCCTATGGGCAAAAATTTGCACATGTATTTACAGGCTTCTGAATCATTTTAACCCATATATGCAGAAGTCTTCTCTTTTTTTTTCTTAAATGCAGTTTTTGGCCGGGGCTGGGTTTGAACCCACCACCTCCAGCATAGGGGGCTGGTGTCCTACTCCTTTGAGCCACAGGCGCCATCCCAGAAATCTTCTCATTTTATACATGTATAAGCCAAAGGCTAGAGAGATTTTGTGATTTCCTTAGGTGATAGAGCTAGTTTCATCTTCATCTAGTGCTTTTATAGACATTTTCAAGATTTTAGCAGTGACTTAAAAGTCTCTAAAATGCAATGTGCTGTGGCCAACGTCATATTGAATACTCTACCAATGAATGTATATTCTAGCAAAACACCTTGCTCAATGAGGAAGGGTTCAGATTGAAAAACGGAATCAGTGATGATTCCCCCAAGTCTTGGTACAGATTAGAGCCATGTGATGGGGGCATCCTTGTATTCTAAAAAATAGGAGTAGGAAGGAGAAGAGACCATGTTTTGTGTGTACGGAGTGTGGCTGATGACACCCTGTGGTGGTTTGGGGGCTGTAGGCTTTCACCCTGCCTTCTCTTCAGCCTCATCACATGGTCCTCAAGCCCTTCCACTCTGCTTAAGTTTTGGCAGCTTCTAACACGCTCCCCTAGTCCACGTTCTCCCCTCATGCCCTGCCCTTCCTCTGTGGAGTATTTAGCATCTATGGTGGACCAGGTGTCCAGGATAAACAGCATAGACCAAGCTGCCCAGGGACGGCAGACACTGCAAAAATATGAAATTTGAGTCACATTCTCTATTTTATGTTTCCAGTAGACTTGGAAGGGTCTGACTCTTCTGTTTTCATTTTTGCGTGTTTCGAGTGGCTATCATCTGGCACAATTAATTGTTTTCTCCTTTTCCTTGGCAGCATCTCTTGGGCGGCCAGCAACAGCCTTCTGTCCAGCTCTGGGTCTCCTTTGGCCGGAAGCCCATGCGAGCAGCCCAGTTTGTCACAAGGCATCCCATTAATGTGAGTGGGGTCTGGGTGAGGATGGGAAGAAGTGTTACTGTCCCCAGGCAGATGTCAGGGAAGGATGTTATGGGGATATCGCGCTGTGGGATCTTATGAAGGCTCCCTGAAGTCTCTCTCTTTCCAGCAAGAGAGAGAGAGCTCTTATGCCTTGGGCATCTTGCCCTGTTGGAGCTGAGCAGGGGTCTTCATTTGCTTTAAGTGGAGCAGGACTGCAGAGAGGTTGGAGCCAGCGTCAGTGGCCTCTTGTGCCCATTCTGAAGCAATGGAGAGTTTATGCACAATAGGAATTTTTTTTATTGTGTACCTGCTCTATTGCTTGCAGATGGCTAGGTTCCAAAAAGGGGTTAGATTTTGGTCACAGACAGCTTGGAGAGACCAAGAACAGAGTGCAGGAAGCAGTTCTGTGGATGAGGTTGTAAAACTAAGTTTGCAAAGTTAGCCCAGACAAAGTGCTACCTACCTACCTCATTGCTGAATATCACGACGGTCACCCTCCAAGCACTGCCCTTGGGAAGCTATGAACTGATGCCAGTGCCTAGTCCACCCTTCAAAGCGATTTTGGAACTCTTTCTCTGGAATGGCCTTCAGAGCTGTCATCGTACGAGGTCTGACGACTAAGTTTGTGAACCTGTCCTAGAAAAAGTGTTTTAAAGAGTGGAGTAGGCACTAACATTGGTGCATAGCTTCCCACTGGGAGTACCTTAAAGGTGACCATAGTGATGTTCAGCAGTGAGGTATGGAGCATGGTTTCTGGGATGAGCTCCTGAACTTCATCATCTGACCTTGTAGTCAAGTGTTAGAATACACAGCATTATACCATGGAGAAAGGTAAGGACAATCGACATGGGCTGGGTGGTCAGGAGGGGCCACGGGGGCTCATTGGAAGGCCTTGATACTGGCGGGTGGTGTGGTGGAAGTCAGTAGCCCGGAGGGGGTGTGATGTTCTTGGCTAGTTTCTGTGGGTCCTGCAGCCTACTCATCACCTCAGGGAAAATAAAGAGAAATGAGATGCAGTCTCATCTATATTATACTTTGTTCTAATGAACTATCTCATGGGAAAAAGGAGACATTATTAACTAAAAAGAGGTTTTTAGGTCATTTATGGAGTTCAGTGGCCCATTCGTAACTTTGTGCCCCATTTGCCAATCAGGGACCTGCAAGTCCTGCCTCAGGTTCTCCAAAGGGGAGGTCGTCCAGGCATCTTTGTCACAACTGGAAAACTTCCTGTGGGCTGTGGGTTGACTTTCATCACTGGGATGTTTGGAAGTCTTTGCTTTCATGGCTATAAACCCCCACAGGGCCCCCTTGTCTCTGACCTACGTGTTTTTTACTTTTGATTCTGAAGGAATATTACATCGCAGATGCCTCCGAGGACCAGGTCTTTGTGTGTGTCAGTCACAGTAACAACCGCACCAATTTGTACATCTCAGAGGCGGAAGGGCTGAAATTCTCCCTGTCCTTGGAGAATGTGCTTTATTACAGCCCAGGAGGTGCTGGAAGTGATACCTTGGTGAGGTAAGGAGACCGAATCCCTCCTCTGCCTTCCTAGATCCAACAGCCTCTGTCTGTTCACTGATTTTCAACTTCAGCGGCACATGGGGGGCTCGCCTGTGAAATTTTTGGGAACTCTGATGCCCAGTTCACATGCCGAGAAATTACAATGGAATTGATTTGGGATATGGCCTGGGTGGGAGGAATTTTTGTTTTTGTTTTTGTTTTTGTTTTTTGAGACAGAGATTCACTGTTGCCCTGGGTAGAGTGCCATGGTGTCACAGCTCACAGCAACCTCAAACTTTGGGCTTAAGCCATTCTCTTGCTTCAGCCTCCCAAGTAGCTGGGACTACAGGTGCCCGCCACAACACCCGGCTACTTTTTGGTTGTAGTTGTCATTGTTGTTTGGCGGGCCCAGGTTGGGTTCGAACCCACCAGCTCCAGTATACATGGCTGGTGCCCTAACCGCTGAGCTACAGGTGTTGAACCTGGGTGGGAGGATTTTAAAGTTATCTGTCCTTGCAGCCAGGGCTGCGGACCACAGCTCTGAATGACATTAGGGTCATAACCAGTCTGTTAACCACTCCTCGAGGCTCCCTGTGTTTGATTATCTGGTTTTGGGGTCTCTAAGCCACGAAAGTGGGCAAGAGGACTTAGAAAGTATAGAGTCAGCGAGAGCTGGCACATGAGGCCATGGGGCCCTGCCTCCAGCTGGGCCAGGTGAATTGAGGTCATTACTCTTTTTTTCTTTTTAAATGTAATCGCATGGTGTTGTTTTATAAGAAAGGCTCTGATGTTGTTGATTCTTTGGATCTGCTTTGCAGTCCTAGCAATGGGCCTTCTTTGAGCTCCACAAAGAGTTGGGGGCTTGGGAGGGATGAGGAGATTCTTTGAAGATCCATTCAGGGCCACTGATTTTCATTTACTGCTTGACAAGCCAGCTTCTGTGACCTGTCTGACTGGTTAGGTTCCCTCCCTGCTCTTGAAAAGAGTCTCTTGTGTGAAGCTGGCTGCTCTAGGATGGAGTCTGGATCTAAGGTCATGACTACCAGATTGGGGGGTGTGCCCTGTGTCTGCTGTGTCTGCTATCTCTGCTCTCGCAGGCAATTCATTCCATCTTCATTTTATTTAACAAGTGTGCCACCCCTCTCTGCCAGACGGTGTTCTAGGTACAACGATGAAATGTGTATACAGCAATGAAAAATCAGAATGGAGTCCCTCTTCCAAGGAGCTTATATGCTAGTTGGGGAAGACAGAATATAAGCAAATATGTGATACTCCTGGCAACATGCCAAGAAGAAAAATAAAGCAAGATGAGGGGGTCAGGGGTTTGCAAGGGTTTTCTTGTCCATAGGCTGCTCCTGGAGTGGGGCATTTGAGCAGGTGCCTAAGTTACATGAGGGAGGCAGCCGGGCAGATGCCAGCTGAGAAGCAGCTTTGCAGGTGGCAGGGACAGTAAGCACAGTGATCCCAGGATGGGACTGCCAAGGTGTGTTGTAGGAGTAGGGAGGAGGCGAGGGTGGTTCAAAGGCCTGAAGGAGGGAAGGGCGAAATGAGGGACGGGACTCAAGAGAACAGGGCTCAGACCCTGTAGGGCCTTCAGGGGCATATGAAGAACTTTTTTTTTTTTTTGCTCGGAAGTGGGAAGGAAGGTTTTGATCAGAAGACAGGTATCATCACCTGTTAATTTTTTTTCCATTTAAAAAACTTTGAATTGCATTATATTATATGGATTGGAGGAGGGGTATGGGAGAAGGGGTGAAATGTCCTAAAGGACCTGGAAGAGAAATAAACTCGGATCCACACTGATGCAAATAATTGGTGATTTATTCGCACCTGCGCAGGGGGGCCGTTGCACTGAGACAAGCAGCCCCTCCTATGCAGAGTTTTCTGTCTTTCATACCCTTTTTTTTGCATAGCTTAACCTAGCAGGGGTGGGTGAGGTGCATTTGGTTGTCATAGGATACATTCCAAATCACAATGGTTACAATCTTACAACAATAATTGATTAATGGATGTATCTTAGATTACAATAGTCATCATTATATAATGGTAATTAATCAATGAGTATGTCTTAGATCACAATGGTTATCAATAATCAGTCAGGCTCCGTGAGTCTTCTACCGTTGTTCACCTGCTGAGAACCTAGTGAAACTTGGAACTTTCCGTGCTTCTTCTATTCTAGAGATTATGGGAACATGGCTGGGAAAAGCCCGTAAAGCAGGGGGGCGAGGGAATGGGAGACTTGCTCGCAGGGTGGGGGAATGGTAGACTGCGCAGGTGGAGGAAGCAGGAGCTCACAACAGGGGAAGCTGAGGGACCCCTGTGGAGTGATGGCTGCCTAGTGGGTCAGGAAGAGTGGGGCAAAGGTCACAAGTGCAGCTTTGGACCTATGAGGAAGGAGCTGCCTGTTAGAGACCCACGTGCCCAGAGTTCTACCTGGTTTCCAACAGTGCTTTTCCACCTCCTGTTTTTTCTGCTTTGGAGGCACTGTCATCTTTTATTCCTTTTTTCTCTCTCCTGACAGACTCCAGGATTATTTATTATTTACTGTGTTAGGAGCCATTCTTGCCGTGATTCATTTTGATGGTCAGGTTGTCCCAGTTTGGTCAGGGACAACTCCTACCACCTGTAGGCTGGTTCCTGTGTCTTTTTTTTTTCTTTTTAAAAATAATTTATTGAGGCAAAATTCACATAACATAAACATACCCATTTTATTTTATTGGCAGTTTGGCCAGGCCTGGGTGTGAACCCACCACCCTCGGTATATGGGGCCAGAGCCCTACCCACTGAGCCACAGGTGCCACCCAACACACCCATTTTAAAGTGAGCCATTGAGTGGCATTGCCTGCATTCACTGTCACCTCTATCTAATTTCAAAACATGTTCATTTCTCCAAAAGAAAACCCCGATGCCGATTAAGCAGTTTATCCTTACTAGCCCCTTTCCCCTTGCCCCCCGGAAGCCATCAGTCTGATTTCTGTCTCTATGGCTTTAGCTTTTCTAGATATTTCATGCTTAAGGAGTCATATAATATGTGATCTTCGGTGTCCGGTTTGTTTCACTTAGCATAGTGTCAAGGTTTCACCCAAGTACAACATCTATCAGTACTTCATTCATTTTTACAGGTGAATAACATTTTCCTTTTTTATATTTAAAATCATGCATCATTATCCATTAGGCCTTTTTTTTGAGACAGAGTCTCAAGCTGTCACCCTGGGCAGAGTGCTGTGGCATCACAGCTCATGGCAACCTCCAACTCCTGGGCTCAAGCAAGTCTCCTGCCTCCACCTCCCAAGCAGCTGGGACCACAGGCACCCACCACAATGCCTGGGCATTTTTTGATTGCAGCCATCATTGTTGTTTGGTGGGCCTGGGCTGGATTCGAACCCACCACCTTAGGTGTATGTGGCTGGTGCCTTAGCCACTTGAGCCACAGGCGCCGAGCCCCATTAGGCCTTTTTTTCTTGACATTTTTTCTTTCTTCCTTTTGAGAGCCTCTGGCTATGGAGTAGATAAACCACAGTTGGCTAACAATTTCCTTGTCTTCCTCATTTGTTAGATAATCTGGGTGAACGTCTTATGACAGAAGCCAGAGAGAGGGGTTCCTCAGGAATTAGTAACTTCACCTATGTGACTGTTGGGCCACCTCCTATGTACAGATGGTCTTGAATATAGTTATAAAAGGTCCACCCTGCCTTGCCCGAGTGATCAGTCGGGCAAAGAAATTGAAAAGAGATTCACGTCAAGAGTCATCCTAGGCCCACATCCAAGTCAGCTTGCTTATTCTCCTAGATTTTGTCTCAGGACTAGAGAAGTTCAGAGGTGTTCAGCTGAGTGGCATTTTGTCATCAGCATCTTGATCTCAGCCAGATGAAATGGGGTAAGGGTGAATTAGCAGATTATGTGGGTCAACCGGATTAGAATAAATGTCTGTGGTATTTGAAATGAGGTATTCTTTGAATTAAACAGGAAAATGTGACGCCCAGGAACTGGTTCTAATCTACTTAGAGAAATAGAAAGAAAGGTCTTAGTAGGGATGACCCTAGCAGTGGTGGGGTGCACTGGGTAGGAATTGCGTGGAAAACGATAGGTAGATGTTGGCTACTTAGGGGGAACTCATGTGCTGATGAGATGTCAGGCCTGTGGGGACGCCTTAAGGAGGGACATAGCCCACTTGGCGTGAGTGGAGGCCAGGACTACCCTGAGTGTGGCTGAAGGGGACCTGCTGGGTCTTGGCTCAGGGCACTCAGAAGAAGGGGAGAGAATGCTTTGGTGAGGGCCAGTGAGGATTAGAAGAAAACAGACTCTCAGAGGAAGTACTTAGGGTACTGTTGTGGGGCAGGTCAAGTGGGGAAATTAAAGGATGGGCTGGGCCTCAGGGCCTGGGAGGATGTGAGGGACAGGAGGGTTTCTTCTTGGAAATAAAAGATAGAACTCCAGGAGTAGGACTGGGGGGAAGTAACAGGGCTTGTCAAATGAGGGAAGCTCAGACCTCCCAGATCAATGAAAGAAGCCCATAACTCTTGCGATGGCAGGTTTTCTGATGATAGACTCAAAAGAAGCAAGGGGAAGTGAGCAGAGCAGGGAGGTGATGGGCCTTGGCCGGTGCCTAAGGCAGCGCCTGGAATCCAACTAAAACAGACCCTAACCTGCGTGTCAGAGAGTTGGGTTCAACCTGGGCATCGTACTTGGGATTCCGCTCAGCCTCAGTCATAACGAGCTTTCACTCGTTTTCTTTTTCCTGCCTCACAAGTTGTCATTTGTGTCTTTCTGTTTGAGGTGGCAGAATGGTCATCCAGCTCAAGAGATTATATGGCAGATGGTGGGAAAAAGCAATTCTCTGCCTTACTGCGTAGCCCAGTGGCTTAGAACTTCCCCTCCCCATAAAGGGCATTTTTAACCATGTGTGAACTATGGTTATAATTTATCAAAGACCCATTATATTATATTTGCAGTGTGTGTGCCATTTTATCAGAAAACTACTTGTCATTGAAGTCAGTATTTTAGCGTAATGTTAAAGCCTGGGAGGGCCTTATTCTCTGCTTCACTCTTAACGAATATAATACTCAAGATTTCTAGAGCTGTCCTTGTTTCTTTATGAAGGAATTGACCAATTCTGTTGGGCTTCCCGACACTTCTATCTCATCAGGGCATTGGATAATTAGGTTGTGAGGACAGTGGCTATATATTCCTACAGATTGGGTTAAAATTTAAGCCTCTGCGTTATTTGTGTCTTGCAATTCTGGCCTAATATTTTCTGTTCGTCGAGGTTCACAGGAGGATTTCAGGTCAATTTCCACGCTAAAGAAATAGATATGGCTCTTATGTCAACTTTTGCATGTTATATGCATTATTCTAACCCCTCTGTTAGGTGTTGATGATAAGCATCTTGGCCCTCAAAGTTAAAAAAAATCACTTTTTAAAAAAGAACAGATTGTTTAAGCTTTGGAAAGAAGTACTGATACATGCCACAACACGGATGAATCTTGAAAGCATTATACTAAGTGGAAGTAACCACGTGAGAGGGCCACATATTATGTGATTCCATTTATGTGAAATACCCAGACGAGGTAAATGCCTGGAGATAGAAAGCAGACCAGTGGTCTCCTTCTCTCCGGGGAGAGAAGCAGAAAGGTGGAGTGACTGCTAATGGGTCAGGTGTTTCCTTTGGGAATGATGAAAATATTTTGGAACTAAATAGTCATGATGTTTGCACGGCATTGTGAATATACTTAATCCCACTAAATTGTATACTTTAAAATGGTTACATTTTATATTGTTTATAATAACAAACAAATATCCATTCAGGTTCACAGCTGCCTCTTTTCTCTTACTGTAGGTATTTTGCAAATGAACCATTTGCTGACTTCCACCGGGTGGAAGGGTTACAAGGCGTCTACATTGCTACTCTGATTAATGGTTCTATGAATGAAGAAAACATGAGATCAGTGATCACCTTTGACAAAGGGGGAACCTGGGAGTTTCTTCAAGCTCCAGCCTTCACAGGATATGGAGAGAAAATCAATTGTGAGGTATAGATGCTTCAATCTTGTTTTTCTTTTTATCACAGGGGAAAGAGACCTGATATGTGGTAGTTTCTTATATCAAGTATTCATTGGAAAAAATGCAGCATCCCTTAGTACTCCGTTAATATCACAGGGAACAGACTTGGACCTGGAGTGTTGCCTTTGCAGTTCCCAAAGTCTGTGCACCACCACCACCACTTCTGGGCAGTGGGTGTGTGATTTTTGAATATGCTGTGGGGCTCAGGCTTCAGTTGAATAGAGTTAATGGAATCATTAAGATTCTGCTTTTTATTTCACTGACCAGTTTATGAACTGTAGGACTGTTCATCAGCTTTAGTTTCTACTTCTGAGTTTAAGTGGTAGAAAGAATGTATAGGAAGGGCTGAGTCTGATTATCTGAGGACATAGAAACTCACAAATGAATAGACTTCCTTGCAGGTGAAGAAACATGAGTCACAAAGGGGTGTGGGCCAACGAATATTTCTTTGACACCCAACCTAATTTGCTCTAGTTTTCTTTGGCCAAACCGTGAAGCCAGCAAGATGGCTATTTGTTAAAGATCCTTTCATGACAAAAATAAGTAGATCCGGCCGACTTTATCCGAGTTTTTGCCTGGCCATATGCATACAGTGTTCCCTTGTTTAGAATTCTGGCCACATCTGAGTAACATTGAACAGTCACTTGTAGGCCAGGAGAATCGGGCCTCGCCATACAGCAAAAGGCCTTGTTCTGATTGTTTGCAGGAAAACTATTAAAATGTATATAAGTGATGGAGGCCAGGCTGGATAACTTAAAGCCTTGCCCTGTACACCTGCATGTGTGTACAAGTGTAAGATACTTAAAAAAAATTAATGTTAATCCTTTGGTGTTTATATCTCAGATGTTGTACAGCTGGCAGCTTATCCATGAGACTTTCTTCCAGTTCTTTTTTTTTTTCTTTTGATGTAATAACCAGAATCATATTTGAAACACATCTCCACCGACTTAGACAATAACTATCATAAAATCATTTCATTTCTCATAAGTTCTGAGTCACTAGAGAGGATCTCTGGGTGATAAGGCCGGATGACACCTTTTCATCTAGTTGAGTTGACCCCGATTTCTAATTGTTGTTCCTTGAGAGCCTCAGAGGCCTTTTCACGCTGTTACTGTTGTCTTTCCTTCAATGAGGGACATTTATGTGGGCTCAGATGATTCTCTCCGTCCAGTGGGGATGGAGACGGCCGGGCTGAGAGTCTGGTTTCCACTGGAGTAGGCCTCCCTGCTCTGTGTCCAGCTGCAGTGTCTTCAGACAGGCCTTAGGTCTCAGGCTGGCACTCCCTGGAATTTTTGTTCTGCAGCTTTCCCAGGGCTGTTCCCTCCACCTGGCCCAGCGCCTCAGTCAGCTGCTCAACCTCCAGCTCCGGAGAATGCCCATCCTATCCAAGGAGTCGGCTCCGGGCCTCATCATTGCCACTGGTAAGTGTGTTTGCCTGAGCTCACAAGGGGCTCTGCTGTCCAGTTTTCCGCAGCCGAATACAAAGTGATTACCCACATCTCCCGCGGTAGCTGCTCTTCGTGGTTTTAGGACGTTCTCAGTTGCCAGTTACGACTCAGAATTTCTGGTTGGGCATGGTGATTATCTGACATTCCTGAAATTAAAAATAGTTATTCTTCTTGCATTTTAGGCTCAGTGGGGAAGAACTTGGCCAGCAAGACGAACGTGTACATCTCTAGCAGTGCTGGAGCCAGGTGGCGAGAGGTCAGCCCCCGACCCCTCCCCTGACCCTGGTTTTGTGTGAGAACGTGGACTGTGCCTCTACATTTTAGAGACACACATGGCCCATGGTGGAGGCCAAGAATGCCAAATGAGTGTCTAGTCAAGGGAGGTACCTACAGCCACTTATAAGTTGAGCTGATTTGTAATTACAGGTATTTAAAATAAGAAAATAGACCCTTTGAAAACTGAATTTTGTCAAATGTATGAAGATTATGAATTCCATGAGGGTGAAGACAGGTTTGGTTTACTCCTTTACCTGTAGAACCCAGGAGTGGGTGCTCAAATCCAGCATCTGTTGAATGTATCAGAAAATGACAGCGTAGCGGTGTCAGGTCTGAAAATGGCTGTTTTTTTTTTTATCATTTTTTGGTACATTATTGAGGTTGAAGTCAAACCTCTCCTTACTGGGCTGTGCTGTGTGATTCCTTTCATCTCCTTCTGCGCTGTGGGAGCAGAGCCTGCTTTTGCCTTATGGCTGTATAACTAATTTGGATCCTTAGACCCTCATTATACCAATTCTGAAGGTGAGGCTAGTTCTCTAGTCCCCAAACGCTAATTCAGCTTCAGCTTTGGACATCAGAATATTTCGATACTTGAAAAAAATTATTTTTCAGTAGCCTCCTGTGTTTTATTAAGGCCAAGGCAAGTATGTCTGCTCTCATTCGGTGGGGGTTGTTTTTGGTGGTGACCCTGCCTATGCCAGGAGCCACTAGGGTAAAACGTAACAGATCACTGGACAGGAATTTATTGAGGATGACCAGCAGGGTGAACATGGTGCCAGGAACGATGTGGAGTTCAGAGGGGCTAGCAGGTAGAGTTCCCATCCTCATGGTGCTTCTTGTTGGGAGTGCCATGTACATACTTTATTTAAATGTGTAATATGTAAAGCAGTAATAATACCCAATCTTCACGTGGCTCTTTGCAGTTTACAGAGGCCTTGTCACAGACCTTATCTCATTGGTGGCAGTTGTACCCACTCTCTAGCTGAGAGATGGGACTCAGATGATATATCCAGGATGGTAGAGAACATAAAGTACCTTTGCAGTTGAAAGAGGAGGTGGCGAAGAAGGCCAGAGTGGCCAAAAAGCATGAGCAGTTTGGAATTGGAATTCTTGGGTCACCCTTGTCCTGCTCCCTTGGGAAAGATTAAGCAACTGGTTTCTCCTTGCTTGGAGCTGGATGTTCCTTTTGAAATTGGGTGTGGAGAAAGGCCTGTGATTTGTCTGTAGCTTCTGCTGTTGGTGTAATCTGGGATTTGAACATCTGCAAGTGATTTCCTTCTGGGTAGAAGCAGAGTCTTATTCTTCCTGCGGTGAAGTGGTATCATCTGGCCAAGGCCGGGGCAGCTGTTGGTGCCTCCCCCAGGCGTGTGTAATGCCTGCCAAGAAGCAGCCAGTGCACAGAGACTTTATTTTGGGAGCTAGCAGAGAACTGAGTGAGGGATGAAAAGGTTGAGACTGTATTCGTGTGAGTGGACATCTGAGTCCCCATGGGAGCCTGCATGTGAGAGGGACAGTCTAGGTTGTGTGAGGGGCAGTGGGTGGCAGAGGAAGAGGACACAGTGGACAGAATGCTGCTTGGGGCACTGATGATCAGAATTCTGGTTCTCCTTTTAATTAGTCCCACAAATTCTCTGATTCTTAAAAAGTTCCTTTTCCTGGGCTTTTTTTTTTTTTTTTTAACAACTCTATGGAGGCAGAAGTAAGTATAGTAAACTGCCTATGTTTAAAGTATGCAGTTCAATCAGAATTGATGGCTGTTATAATTAAGATAACAAACATTTCCATCACCTCCCCTAAAGTATCTTTGTGCCCCTTGGTAATCCATCCTCTACACTCTTTCCCTATCTACTTTTCTCACCATAGGTTATCTGTTGGCATTTTCTAGAATTTTAATAAATGAACTTGTATGTATTTTTTTTGGGGGGGGAATGGCTTATATCATTGATCATGGTGGTTTTGAGGCCCATCTGTATGGTTTCGTGTATTAATCGTTTATTCCTCTTTTTTTAAAATTGCTGATTAGTATCCTACTATAGGGATATCCTAGTTTCATTTATCTATTCATCTGATGATGGACATTTTTATGTTGGTTACAAATGTAGCTTTTCAGAACATTCATGTACTTTTTTTTTTATATGTACACTTTTTTTTTTCATTTCTCTGGGGCAAGTAATATAGGATGGGAATGTCTGTGTGTGTATTTAACTTTCTGAAGGACCCTTGAGTTGTTTGCTATTTTACAACTTCTATGTTTATACTTTTTTGGGGGGGGGTATAGTTCTCTAAATTGCTACAAGAGGGATGGTAAATCCCCTACTTGTTTGCTGAATTATCTATTTCTCCTTTAATTTCTGTTACTTTTTGCTTTGTTTTGCTATGTATTTTGAATCTCTGTTATTAAGTGTGTTTGAATCTGTTACTGTCTTTTCCTGATGAAGTGTCCCTTTTATAATTATGAAATATCCCTCTTCTCTTTATCTCTGGTAGTACTCTGTTTTGGAATCTACTTTATCTGACACTGGAATAGTCACTCCTCCTTTATGTTGACTGTTTGGGTAAAGCATCATCTATTTATCATCCATTTACTTTGTTTCTATCTGTGTCATTATATTTAAAGTATTTCTTACAGGCAACATATGGTAGGGGCTTGGTTTTTTATTCATTCTGCCAAATTCTGCTTTTTAACTGAAAAGCTTAAGCCATTAACATTGAACAGTAATTAAGATGATTAGATTTAGGTCTGATATTTTATTATTATTATCATTATTTTGGGGGGGCAGTTTTTGGCTGGTGCTGGGTTTGAACCCACCACCTCCAGCATATGGGGCCGGCGCCCTACTCCTTTGAGCCACAGGCACCGCCCTATTTTATTATTTTTTTATCCTCACTGTTTATCATTCCTTTGTTCCTCATTTCCTATCTCCTTGTGTATTATGTAGATATTTTTTAGTATTCTGTTTTTATTTAGGTATTTCCAAAATTATGTTTCTTTGTATTTTTTAAGCGGTCTCTCTAATAACTAAGACAGACATATCTAATGTTTATGGTCTTTTTTGAGTGAATATTGCACTTAAAGTTTGGAAGCCTCGTATTCATAGAAGTCCCTTTTCTTTTCTCCTTCTATGTGTATCATGATCATACATTGAAATACTCATAAAATAATGTCTTAAACTGTCATTGCATTTAAAGAACTTAAGAGGAAAAAAAGCAGTCTTTAATATTTACCCAGCTATTTATCATTTCTCTTGCTCTTTCTTCATTCCTAAAGATGTCCATTTATCCACGGGAAATTTTCATACAGCTTAAATTACTTTAGCATTTCTTTAGAGGTTTTATTGCCTATGAATTTTCTTGATTTTTCCTTCATTTGAAAAATCTCTCTTTTACTTTTGTTCTGGTGAGATGTGTGTGTTGGATGTGGAATTCTGAGCGGACAATAAATTTCTTCCAGGACTTTGAAGCTGTCCTGTTGTCTTCCTGTTTCTCAGTCTTCCGATGAGAAACCTATTATTTCAGGTCTCATTTCCCTGTGTGTAACATGCCTTTTATTTATTTATTTATTTCAGTTTTTGACTGGGGCTGGGTTTGAACCCACCACCTCCGGTTTATGGAGCTGGCGTCCTACTCCTTGAACCACAGCTGCTGCCCAATATACCATTTTTCTATATGCTTTCAGGATGATTTTTTTCCTTCTCTTTGGTTTTCAGCAGTTTCGTTCCATGTCTACGAAGGGGCTTTCTTTGAGAACATCCTGTTTGGGGATGCTGATTATGAATTTATAGATTTATGTTTTTTACTAAATTTGGGAACTTTTCAGCCATTATTTCTTCAGATATTTTTTTCTGCTTCAGTGACTTTCTCTAGTTCTTCTCAGACTTGAGTTACACAGACCTGTTGTTATTCTTCCATAGGTCCTTGGAAATCTTTTTTTAAATTAAAAATTTTTTTAAATTTAATTTTTAAAATTTAATTAATCAATTAATTTTATTTTTTGAGACAGAGTCTCACTTTGTCGCCCTCCGTAGGGTGCCGTGGTATTATATCTCACAGCAACCTCAAACTCTTAGGCTCAAACAATCCAGAAGCCTTAGTCTCCTGAGTAGCTCAGACTACAGGCATGTGCCACCACACTTGGCTAATTTTTCTTTTTTGTTTTTTGTTTTTTGCAGTTTTTGGCTGGGGGCTGGGTTTGAACCCACCACCTCTGGCACCACCTACTCCTTTGAGCCACAGGCGCTGTCCGTAATTTTTCTATTTTTAGTAGAGATGAGGTCTTACTCTTGCTTTGATTTGTCTTGAACTCCTGAGCTCAAGGGATCCTTCTGCCTCAGCCTCGCAGACTGCTAGGATTACAGGCGAGAGCCACCTTGTTTCTTAAAATCTTTTTCCCTATGTGTTCTTATAGAAATTTAAAGAAAAACATGAAAAAAATTATAAAATATGTGTAGTTGACCATCTCTTACTATTTTTTAGGTTTACAGATCAGTGGTAACATAATATGTTTATATTCTTATTCTCCCTTTCTCCTCTTCTCCCTTCTCCCTTTCCCTGGCCTCTGATAACCACCCATCTCATCTCTATTTTCATGAGATTTTGCTTTTTTTAGCTTCTGCATAAGAATGAGAACGTGTGATGTTTGTCTTCCTGTGCTGGCATATTTCACTTAACACAGGGGCCTCCAGTTTTCATCCATGTTGCTGCAAATGACAGAATTTCATTCTTTTTATGGCTGAACAATATTCTATTGTGTATATATAGAATGTCCATAAAGTTCGTGTGCAATTTAAAATGTAAAACTGTTTTTCCTTTTAAATTGCACACGAACTTATGGACACCCAGTATACCACATTTTCTTTATCCGTTAATGGGCACATAGGTTGATTCTCTATTTTGGATGTTGTGACTAGTGCCGCAGCAAACATGGGAACAGAGAGCTCTATCTCTTTTATATATTGATGTCTTTTCTTTTAGATACATTGCCAGGAGTTGAATTACTGGATCATATGGAAATTTTCTTTTAAGTTTGTTCTTTGGCTTGGTGCCTGTGGCTCAAGTGGCTGAGGCGCCAGCCACATACACCTAAGGTGGCGGGTTCGAATCCAGCCGGGGCCTGCCAAACAACAACGACGGCTGCAACTAAAAAAAAAAATAGCCAGGCATTGTGGTGGGCACCTGTGGTCCCAGCTACTTGGGAGGCTGAGGCAGGAGACTCGCTTGAGCCCAGGAGTTGGAGGTTGCTGTGAGCTGTGATGCCATGGCACTCTACCCAGGGCGACAGCTTGAGGCTCTGTCTCAAAAAAAAAAAAAAGTTTGTTCTTTATTGTTGGGGATTCATTGAGGGTACAAAGAACCAGGTTACGTCGTTCCTTTTAGTTTTTAAGGAACCTCCATACTGTTCTCCATACTCTCTGTGTTCATTTACATTATAACCAGCAGTATATGAGGCTTCCTGTTTGTCCACATCCTCCCCAGCATCTGTTTCTGACTTTGTTTTTGGTACAAGTCACTTTAACTATCGTAAGATGATATTTCACTGTGAGTTTTGCTTTGCATTTCTCTGAACATTTGTGATGTTGGCCCTTTTAATGTCTTCTTTTGGGAAATGTCTGATCTTTTGCCTGTTTTCTAATTGGGTTATTTACATTTTTGCTGTTGAGTTCTTTAAGCTGGTTGTATGTGGTACATTCTGGTTCTTAATCCTCTGTCAGATGGATAGTTTGCAGGTATTTTCTCCTGTTCTTTGGGTTGTCTGTTCAGTTTGTTGATTGTTTCCTTTGCTGTGCAGAAGCTTTTAATCCCAACTGTCTGTTTTTGCTTTGTTTGCCTGTGCTTTTCAGGTCTTACCCAAGAAATGTTTGCCAAGGGCAATGCCTTGGAGTATTTCAGCAATGTTTCTGCTATTAGTTTAATACTTTAGGTCTTAGATTCAAGTCTTTCATCCATTTTGATGTGATTTTTGTGTATGGTGAATGGTGGGGTCTAGTTTCATTCTTCTGCATGTAGTTACCCCGTTTTCCCAGCACCATTTTTTTTAAAGGCTACTTTTTTCCTGTTGTAAAGTCTTGGCACCTTGTCCAAGAGGAATTGGTTGTAAATGTGTAGATTTATATTTAGGTTCTTCATTCTGTTCCATTCGGCCATGTGTCTATTTTTATGCCAGTGCCATGCTGTTTTGGTGATGATAGCTTTGTAATGAATTCTGAAGTTAGATAGTGTGATGCCTCCAGCTTTGTTCCTTTTGCTCAGGATTATTTTGGGGTCTTTTGTGGTTTCATATAAATTCTAGAGTTTTTTTTTCCTATTTTTGTGAAGAACATTACTGGAATTTTGATAGATTGCATCAAATCTGTAAATTACTTGGGTAGTATTGTCATTTTAACTATTAATTTTTCCAATTCATGACCCTGGAATATTCTTCCATTTATTTTTTTGTGTCTCCTTCTATTTCTGTCATCACAGTTTTATAGTTTTCTCTGTATAGATCTTTACCTTTTTGGTTAGATTGATTCCTAGGCATTTTTTATATATATATATATATATGTATATATTTTAGCTGTTAGAAATGGGATTAGTTTCTTGATTTCTTTTTTAGATTATTTGCTATTGGTATACAGAAATGCTACTGATCTTTGTATATTGATTTTTGTGTCCTGTAACTTTACTGAATTCTTTTATCAGTTTGAGCATTTTTCTTTTTTGTTGGCGCCTCTAAAGAGTTTCTCAGTTGAGCCAAATGTACTTCTCAGTTTCATAATTTCTGGGTTTTTAAAATTATTTCAATCTATTTAAGTTTTTCAGCTGAATTTATGAATTGCTTGTCTGTTATCTTGGAGATCACCGAGTTTTCTTAAAACTGCTATTTTGAATTTTTGATAAAATAGTTCACGAATTGCCTTCTTATGAGGGTCAGTCACTGGAGTTTTGCTTTGTCCTTTGGGGGAGGTCGTGGTCCTTGTTTGCAGTTGTTCTGTGGGTATCCTTGCATTGAAGGATTAGTTATTTATTCCAGTTGTCCCTGACTTATTTTAGTTGTTATTGAATATCTTTGCTTAGTGAATCTTCCCTGCTAGGTTGCTGCCTACTTTTCAGCTCTAGGTGGCGCCTTGAGCCCAGGTTCACTTCCACTCTGGTTATGGTTGGTGCACCTGTTGCAAATGGAGGGGATCCCAAAGGGATTATCCCAGCTGGGTGGGATAACCTGGCAGTGGGTAGAGGTTTGTGTCCTGGGCAACAGTCCAATAGCCAATCTTATGTGGCATCTCCTTTGTCCAAGAGACAGAGCAGAGTTTCAGGCCTAGAGATAGTTTCATCCCTACCTCCTCTGGGGTGTTTCTTCTTCAGGCAGTTGTGATGCTGCCTGTAGGTGCGGCAAGGACCCATCTTCTGCCAGGGAGGTGGGAAAGCTGGCCGACCACCTCAATATCACTTTTTCTGGGTTGCTGCTGATGTGCTGATGAAGATCTTGGGGCTTATATATTTGCCTTTGTTTTCTTGATGAGGGGAAGAGAAGCCAGCTTGCCCCGATGCCACCATTTTGGAGTTGGAAGTTCAACAATCCTTTATGTTCTAAATAACATATAGCTGCTGTTGGTCTGTATTTATCTTCAAGTTCACTGATTCCGCTGTCATTTCTACTCTGATATTGAGCCCATCAATGAATTTATTTCAGATATTATATTTTTTCTGTTAAAGACTTCTGTTTGGTTCTCTTTTTAAAAAATTGTTTTCACTCCTCTGAGGATAATTTTTATCTTTTGTTCATTTCACGTTCGTTTTCTCCTTCATGGAACGTGGTTATAATAGCTATTTGAAAAGTTCTACGTAGGATTGGTGCTGGTTGCCCATCTTTCCCCTTGAGAATTGGGCACAACTTGTGGAGATGTGTGTGTGTTATACGTTGAATAATTTTGGTTTATATTCTGTACCTGTAAATGAAATGCATGAAATTAAATCTTCTGGAGGATGTTTTTTTTTTTTTTTTTTTAACACCTCATCAGCCTGTTAGGATCCTCCCATCCTGTCTTGGTTTTTGTAGGTGACAGTTCAAATCTCCGTTTTGTCTGCTAAGCCTTTCTTCTGCTGGCTTGGGTGTGAACCTTTATAGGTTAGGGGTTAGGCTGACGCTTATGTGAGTTCATATACAGAGTTAGGGGTAAGTTTACTTTGGTGATGCTGCCCCTCTGGGATTCCATCTGCATTTTCTCCCGCCGACTTGGGCACGTTTTCCTGGTCTCTTTAGCAGAATCAGTTTCTTTTGAAGTTTAGCTCTTTGGCTAGGACTGAAGTGTATTCCATGACTGGGGCTCCCCTCCCCGCTGGTCAGCGCCATGCTGGAGAACCCACACCTGTGTGCCTGGCTTCCCCAGGTTTTCACTCCCTTTTCTATAAGCTGCCTGCTTTTTTCAGCATCCTTTGGAAGTTGCTTTTTGTATTTTGTTCGGAGTTTCTAGTTGTAATTAGCAGGAAGGAATGGGCTATCGGGGGTTCATGCTGTCATAGTAAAACTGGAATTCTAGTTGGTTAATTTTTAATAATTGGTCAGAGAGAGTCAGGGATTTGGGCCTGGGTTTTACCTCTCCTGTCCACAGTTTGCCATTTTAGTGTTAAGCCCCTTTTCTCTTCATTTGTGGAAAAAATTGAGATACCAGAACTTGCTTTGGTAGGACTGTGTGGAGTGGCTGAGATAATGTGTGTGAATGTGTACCCTAAACTTGTATGCAGATAGTTGGCATTGCTGTGTGTGTGCACGTATATGTGACTTTTGCACAGTTATCTCCACAGCAGTGACATGTGACATAAGCACTGGCTTTTCCTCTTTAGGCACTTCCTGGACCTCACTATTATACATGGGGGGACCACGGAGGCATCATCATGGCCATTGCCCAGGGCACAGAGACTAACGAGCTGAAGTAAGTGTCTCTGATTGAATCCTTTCTTTTAACATCTAACTGTTCTCCCAGAAATTTATGTCTGTGATGATAATTATCTTTTTACAGCATGAGCTTGTTGAGAGTACAATTTTTGACCTCTGGAACTTACTTAAAACTTTCCTTATCTATCAAATGGAAGTAACAATATGGCCTTTCTGTCTTAAAGGGGTATGGTCAGGAACAAGTGAAATTATTTTATTGAATTGAAAAGTTCAACTCTATATAAAGAACTAACAACGACTAAAAAAAATACCTAGAGACTCTTTAATTTCTATTCCTTTGCCTTGTGTGTGACGCGAAGATTTACTCACGGTATGACTAATTAACAAATAATTCACAAGTGATAATTTACAGAATGCATGTAACTTGATAACCATTTGACTTCTAAGCTGCGTTAGGTCTTGGAGTTTCCCGTAGATGAGCTGAAAGGGCTGGTTGGACTGAATGGCTTCATTTCACAGATGAGATAACTGAGGCTTAGCGAGGTGAAGTAACTTGCTCGGGCTCTTCCCATTTGGTAACAACAGAGGCAGGATCAGCAGTTCCGTCTTCAGATTACATCATGTATTCTTCACAGTATAGTGTTCTGAAAAGCACAGATGTCAGGAGTCTGTAACTTCTACCCTGGTAAGTTTTGGTTTTATCGGAGTCAGTCCTTCGATTACTTTTGTCTGAGTTATTGGACAGTTAATGTCAGGTTGGGGCAGACTGGCCCTACTTCTCCCTATTTTTGAGCCAACCCATTAGATAGATTACTGAAGGAGGTGGAGAGGGCTTCTGCAATCATCTTGTTTAATGCAAGGGAAAAGCTTCTTTTCCTTTCTCCTTTTAGAAACAGAGCCAGCAGCAAGAGAGAGATGGGTGGTGTGGAAAAAGATATCATAGTAGCTGGTCTTCCCCCGTGTAGTTAATTTGACGTGCGCTGAGCAGCCTGGCCGCAAAGAGGGAGATAGAAGCAAAGCTCTGGCATTCAGCATCCCACATGGCTGTTCTCTGTTCCCTGGAGCTCTGGTCAGCCATTTCTTGAGAGGCAGGAGTCAGAAGAGGAGGCTCTGTTTGTACATCATGCTCTATTTCTATATTCAGATTGGCGTTTGCTCAGATGACGACTGTCACAAAGCACAGTGCTTCCCACATTTATACTGTCATTTACATAGCCACTCATTTAATTCTCATCTCACACAGTTAGCGAGCCCTAATTGGGCCAGGTACTATGTATCTAGAGATAAATTGGGTGCTGTCCCCCACCCTCTTGCAAGATAGGTGAGGAAACAATGGTAGTCGGTACACTGCTAGGTGTAAGGACCATGCAGGGGACATAGTTGGCTTCCCTGGAATGTATTTCACTCTCTGTGTGGCTTTCAGATTTCAGAGTCCATTCTCGATTTTCCTTGTTTAACTTCTCTACCAATTACATTTGCATTCCAAGCTGGCTCCTCTTTAGGACTGAGTGTGATTTTAGTCCTCTTACACCATCTGTCGGTGCATATGTGCTCGGGGAACGCAGCGTCATTCTGCACTAGCTGGAGCAAAACATGATCAGGAAAATAAACCTGCTGCCAGCAAATTAGCATGCCCTCCCCAGACATTTAAAAATGACTGTGTGGTTGTAGGCTCTGGGGGATTACGGACACTATAGCATTCTTCTGTTCCTATAGGTCGTTTGGAAGTGTCTGCAGCCATGGTTCAAATAAATTGCTTGTAAACATGGAAATACACAGAGGCTTCCTGCTGACAGGTGCACGTGTCCCAAATACCAGCCTGAGCTTGGCCTGAATCTGTGTAGCCACCTGGCATTTACTCAGAGTGTTGTTCAAAGGTGTTCTGCTTCTCCTGCTGCTCTGAAAAGCAGGGAATTATGTTGAAGCTAGTTCGTACCTTAAACCAGCACAGTGATTTACTGTGATGCCTGTGTATGAGTGGCAGCCGCTTCTGACAAAACTGGATTTCTGTCGTTGGTCTGGGAGGACTTCAGGCCCCTTCTCAATCTGGCCTCTCCAACCACAGTGATCTCTCCTTTGAGTCTCATAGCATTTATTGGCTGTCCTATTCATTGGGCATTGATCCTAAGCTGGTTCCTTTGGTTAGTTCCATTTTTATGATATTCCTAAATTCTTCAACTTGTTAGGAAGACTTTGCAGGTAAGTATTTCTGCTCTGTACAGGTTTGTAGGCACTTAGCAAATCTTTAATTGAAATAAGTCATGCAGATTTAGTCTTCTGAGATTGCTACTTTTTTTTTTTTTTAACTGATGTATAAAACTGAAAAGAACCTAGGTAGTGTGCCAGGTACACAACTCCAAGGGACACCATTGCTGTTGTGCTTCATGAAAATGACAATCCCTGGAGCAGAAATGTGAGTAGGGGCTCCCTGGAAATGTACAAGTTGGCCCAGGAGGCTCCAGAAATGACCTTGTCCCTCTTCTTCCGTTTTCACACGAGGGAATAACCTATTAGTGAGGAGTTAGGACCCTGGCTGGAACTTGAGCGTGTTTCTGTTAGGAATCATTTCAGGTCAATTACACAAACATTTGTTGAACATCCACAATGAACCAGATGTTGTTCTAGATACCAAGGACACAGAGGCGCATGGAGCCCTGTTCAGAAGCTGCTCATGCCCCCTGTGGCTCTGCGGTTTCTGAGCTAATTGGAAAGAGAGTCTGGGAGTGGGTTTTTTTTTTTTTTTTTTTGGAAAGGCAGGGAGGGTTTCTAACCTGACACTTAACCCATCTTTAGGGCGGAAAGCCAAGTTGGTAATGTCAATAACTCTGCAATGAAAGGTAGTGGGGACAGAAGTTGAAACATTGCTTAAAATAAGAGGGTTTGTTTTGCTGTTCTTTTAAATTATTCATGTCTTCCTCTCCCGATTAGCACAGATAACTAAGAGCTGACGCTTGTTTGTCTCAGCTGCTGCGTTCCTTCTCCACGGAGACTGTTACCTTTGTTATTGTTAATTGAAATTGAGAGTGAGGAGTGGAACGCTCTGTTTTGCTGTTGTGACTACACGTCTGAAATGAACAAATGAGAACCTGCTGGCGTCTCACTCACTCATTCATTTAGCACACTGCTGCCGTGAACTGCTCGGGGGGACCTGGGAGCAGCATCTGCAGCCTTCTTCAGAGAAGGGGGAGCGTGTCTTTGCACTCTGACCCAACGATCCAAACACTAGTTGGTTGGCTTGGTCATGAAAGATGAGATCAGTTTCTGGTTCTTCTCTGGTTCGTCGGTCAGCGTGATAATATTTTGAACTTGCCCCAAAGGGTCTTTTCTCTAACGAGATTTCTGATTTCCTAGGGCTTGCCTTTGGGAATCCTGCAATGCTCCTGCAAAGGCTGTCTGTAGGAGAGCCCCTGTCTTTTCTGGACCTCAGTTCTGGAAGCAGCCCCGTAGCTCCACAATTTGAGGGAGGTGCCAGTTAACCTTGTCACTTGATCGCACACCTACACCCCTAGTAACACCAGTGCACTTGCCGACAGAGTTGTCCCCTACTTCATTCTAACCCCCTTTTCTACCTCTTGAGGTGGTAATGAGCAAGGATTCTTTTCACCTTTTAACTGTTAAGACACCCAGAGACAGGGTTAAAAAATTAATACTCCTCTGTTGCGAGAAAAGGGACCAGGGACCAAAGTGTGAGTAAGAGGTCTTGCTCCTGATGAGTGGCAGCCTGGTGACAATGCTCACAGACTTGGATCACTCAAACAGAAGGGTGTAAGATGGAGGTGAGCCCTGGGTGTGGTGGGGTGCAGAGTGGAGGCCAGGTAGTGCTATCTGGGAGGCAGGGATGGGACTTGAGCTGAGGCAGAAAGGGTGAAAAGCAAGGTGGGAACACTTGTCCAGGGTTTTGGAGATTCCTTGAACAAAAAGGGAAGGGTAGAATAGTTAGGGTGGAATGTTGGCTCTTTAGTATTAATAGAAAGCAAATTCTGAGGTGGGGAGCGGAGAGAAAGGAGGCCTGAGATAAGGTGTACGGAGGTGAATGCCAGTCCTGGGGGACCTTACTGTACCTTACTGAGGACCTTACTGTCCTTTACTCAAAACTTCGCTTTTGAGATAATAGAGCAGCGGTTCTCAACCTGTGGGTCGTGACCCCTTCTTAACAGTGAAAGTACATCCTGCATATCAGATATTTACATTACGATTCATAACAGTAGCAAGATTACAGTTATGAAGTAGCAACAAAAATAATTTTGTGTTTGGGGGTCACCACAACATGAGGAGCTGTATTAAAGGGTCGTGGCATTAGGAAGGTTGAGAACCACTGGAATGGAGTGTCTGTGAGGGTTTTCAGGGGTGGGATGGTATGGCTAAGTTTGCATTAGGGAAAGGTGGCTCTGACTGAATGGGGAGGCATGTGAGTAGAACAAGGCTGGAGATGAGAGATGATGCTCGGGTGGGTTTGAGGACGGGTCTGTGGAACATGGTTCCTGATGAGCCTCGGGGACGGTGACTGCACCACTCATAGGGAAGTGGGGGTACAGGAGCTGGCTTGCAGGGCAATGTCACGAATGCCTACAAGGACAAGTGGAGTTGAAGAAGCTGTGATATGTCCAAGGGGAGACGCCCCGCAGGAATCCAGGTATATAATGTCATCTGGTTCAGCCTTCTACCCCTCTTTGCAAGAATTTTCTTTGGGCCATCTGGGATAGCCGATTATCCAGTCTTTGCTTGAATAGTTCCAGTAGTGGGAGATTTGCCAGATACATAAAAAGGCGCTTCCATTTCACTTTGGGGGAGTTTGTTGCTCCTGTGTTTACTTATGAGTAGAAGTTTTCTCCTAAGACAGCACAAATTCTCCCCCTTATAGCTTCAGTTGGGCTTAGTTCTGCTCCTTGGAGACACACAACAGGTATGTCCTTTTGTCTGAAAGCCTTTCCCGTGCGTAAGGATCCTGTTCCTGTCCTTCTGGTGTCTGGCATGATGGTGAACGTATCAGGTTCCTTTCTTCATGGGCTGTAGAATCCCGAATCTTCGCCTCCTGGC